CATTTCTTACCTCAAAATTCACATACAGATGCATACCATGTGAACTTTCTGTTACATTTTAAGAATTTTCTACAAATCCATCCCTCCTGGAGCAGCTGCAGCGACACCAGGGCTGGGGGAAGCTCTGATTTCCAAGGGTTTTTCCTGAGGCTCACCTGAATTTCTGTGAGAAGTCTTTGATGATCTGGACAATCCTCCCATCTGTGGTGAGGTCCAAGGGAGATTTTCCCCGATGATTTGCATAATTAATGTCTGCTCCTTCCTGGGCTAGGTAGCAGGCAATGGCTGTCCCAACGTTCAGCTCCACGTTCCCCAGGAAGCCAGAAGCCTGCAGCTAAAAGAAATTGAGAGAAACACAAAAATATACTCCCAAGCTTCTGAGCTTCTGCTCTGATTTGCATCAAAATAATAACAATAATAAAATAATAAAAATAAAATAACAATAAAAATAATCACAATAATAACAACACAACCATAAAAACAAAATAACAATAATAACACAATCATAATGCAATAACAAAAACAAAAAATTAAATAGCAATAATAATATATTCCTAATAGTAAATAATAATAAAATATAATAAAATCATAACAACAACAATAAATGAAATAAAAATAAAAATAAAATAAAAATAAATTAATAGAAAGACAGTATAAATTATCAATAATATGAAATTTAATAATTTTAAACATTAAAATCATTAGCATATAATAAAATACTATATAATTAATATATGCTTATATAGTATATGTATGTTATATATATAACATATATAACTATATATAGTTATATATAGTTATACTATATATATGTTATATATATACACTATATATAACTATATATAACTATATAATATAGTCCAATATAGTCCAATATAATATAATACAATACAATATAGTTCAATATAGTTCAATATAGTCCAATATAATATAATATAATATAATACAATATAAAATAATATAATATATAGTTCAATATAATATAATACAATATAATAACAACATACTTAATATATAATGAAATATACTGGAACAATATACTAACAATTATAACATATAACATAAACTATAATATAATAACAGCAATACAATACATTATAATATAACAACAAATATATACACACACACACACACACACACACATATATATATATACATACATTAAAATATATATAACGTATATCATATATAACACACAAAACCCACACCAAACCCCACAAAGAGCTCACTCTGTGGTGTCCTGCTGAGCTGTGCTCACCTTGGCCAGCAGGGCGGCTCCCATCTCCCCGTCCCTCTTCTCCAGGGCCAGGGCCAGGAGCTGCTGCCGCTCCAGGGCCATGTGCATGGCGGTGTCACCGTCCTC